AAAACAGAGGCACGCTATTTATGATCGCTCCCCCTGCTCCCCAGGGACCGGGCGCACACGCGGCGCCGCGAAGGCAGGAAATGGAGTCCCAGGTTTTGACTATTGCTACCCCCGCATCCGCCCCTAGAAATCCGTGTCATGGCAGCCGCGTGAAGTCACTGGGCCTATTTCTGTAAGTAGGTAAAAAGAAAACACAGAACTTTGCATCTGTATTTTCAGCCTGGCCAATGCCCAGGAGGCAGGGCAAGGCCAGGGCTTTGCAACGTGTCTGGAATCTGTCACTCTTGCCGGCGGCCTCCGTGGCCCCTCTCTTGGCCGCGCTCACTGGACGGACACCACAGGCTGGTTTCCACCAGCCCCTGCCCCCGTGTGCCCTCTGCATGTGAGCAAGGGCCCCCAAACGCCCATTTCATTCCATCACTTCTCTGCGCAGATCCCCATTGTTCTCAAGACACAGGCTCCAACCCTTAGCGGGGCCCTGCCTAGAGGTCCTGTCTCAACGGCCCCTCTGGCTGGCTCCACTCCGGCTCCCGGGCCACCTCTTCACTGTGCGTGTGGGGCGCCCTTTCTGCCCCAGGACATTTGCCTGGACGTTCCTTTCGGCCGGAAGGGCCTCTCCTGCCCTCTTCACGTGGCTGAGGCTTCCGCCTGCAGATCTGGGCTCGCTCCCACGGGCTGGGGGGAGCCTGTGGCCACTCCCCCGAGCTGGGGCAAGCCCCGCTACTTGGCACTCCCAAGGTGTGGAGGGTCTTTGCTCTCCACCTGCTCTCACCGCAGCAACGTCCGACGGGTGTGTGTAGCTGTCACCCTCTTGAGGGCAGCGCATACACACGCCCGCGCAACACACTAACAGCTCCGCCCTGGGCGCAGCAGCTCCTTAGGCGGGCTGGCTGAGGGCCAAGTGCTTCAGGGGCGCCCTTGGGGAGCATGGCCTATGTGGTTTGGGAGACACAGTCCCACGCCGGTGTTGTGTCGGCCCGTCCCCCACACACGGGCAAGCGCCAGTTTGAATATTTACAGCCTCTAGCACGTGCCTGTCCACCAGGCGCTGGGGCCTCGGCCCAGGGGGTGACGGAAGCTCCTCGGGAGCTGACAGCACCGGGTGGGGAACAGGCTGGCAGGACCAGACGGCTTTGACGCGGGAGTCGATGCGAATGGAAAGTGCTCACGGAAGGGTCCCTTTACGTATCAAGGGACGCGTAAAGCAGGCCATGTGCTCCGCGCGGTGAGTCAGCGTGGCTCCCCACCGCCGCCCGCCGACAGGTAGGACAGAGCGGCCCTGGGACACGGGTCTGTCTGGCAGCTCTGACTTCGGGAAGCCAGGTGCCACCTGAGCGTGGGGCCGACTCACCCTCCCGCACCCCCTGAGCTCCGTGTTCTGTTCGGGGCTCTGCCCTTCAGAGACACTGGAAGAGGAAAGCAGTGCTTCGGGGAGAAAAGAAAACACGGGGCTTGGCGGTTGTCTCAGGACCCCGGCTGCGGGCGCCGGGCAGCAGGGAGAAGGCGCACCACGCCCTCGCTCCAGACCAAGCGCCCGCCCGCCAGAGGCAGGGCGAGCCAGCGTGGCCCCGCGGCTGGGTGTGCTGCCCGCCCTGCCCTCGGCTCTCCTCCCGCTGGCCCTTCCGCCCTGAGCACGTCCAGATTTCAGGCCTGGCTGCCTCCTGCCGCCGCTGCCCCCGCGCCCCATCCCGGACTCTGGTGTTAACTAGGGGTCAGCCAGGCACACAGGCCTGGCATTGTCAACACGCCTGCTTCCCAAGCAGTGACACCGCTTTGATTCTCGCCGCAGAGCACTGTCCTCGGCGCGGATGGATGCTTGGAGTCCGCCTGCCGCGGCGCCGGTGCCTTTGTCTGGGCATGAGGGAACTGTGATTTATGTCCTAAGCTCACTGTGAAACCTTTTGCCTCAGTAATTCTGAGCTCCGTGGGTGTCTCTTTACATCTATTTCAAGTGCGGCTGCTGCCCACGGACCGCGTGCGCTGTGACACTCCCAGGCCTCTGTGTACCCTCGCCCTGGTGCGGAGTCTCGCCCGCGGCGTATCTTTGTCGCCTGGTTCAGTGTGTTTGCTGTGCGCGCCACAGGGCCGCTGAGCAGAGTTGGCCTGTGCCTTTGATGTCAGGTGCGGTGATTAGACCCCTTCCCTGGGGGAGCGCGCAGGTGGCCTGGGTGGAGGAAGATGCAGCGGCTGCGTTTCCAGAGTGTCTGCCCGGCTGGTCCTGGGCCCAGGCTGGGACATCGCGGGCACTTGTATCTCAGCTCCGAGGACCCGCAGGATGGTCAAGGCGTTCTGGCCGCACGCTGCTCCCGGCCAGGAGGGCCATGGGCGCCCCCTAGAGGTGCAGTGGGCTGCAGCACAAAGAACAAGCTCGGATCCCCATTTCCCGGGGTTTAACCGCAGGCGAGCGCCCTGGAGTTGCTGGGCCCGCTTCACTCACTCAACACGGACGGGGGCGTGCAGCGCCGGCTCTGCGCATGTGCAGGGGAGGGAACGGTGGGCGACGTTTTTTGGTGAAAGCCTCCGCGTACTAAGATTTCTCAGGGAAACACTAACGGCCTCCACAAGCGCTGGGAGGTTCCCTGTCATTCCTCATGGCCTTTGGGCCCCCGAAACAGGAAACGGCCCCCAAACCTAGACCCAGCTCGCACCTCCACTGACCACGCTCCGTCCCCGCGTGGCTGACACAGGACTGTGCCCCTGGAGGCGCAGCGGGGAAGGCCCTGCGCGTCAAGGTCAAGGCAGGATCATCCCCACAGCCTTGGAGACAGAGCTCCTGTCCCCACGGAACGAACCCCAGAGCTGGAAACCTGGGCACAACCACGCCGACAGAATGCCTTCAAGGCCAACAAAGGCCTCCTTCTAGCCCCTAAGGGAATACACCGACCCCTTTTTTCTTTAAAATAGTTTGCCCCAGATATTGTTCACTCGTGGCCCATCACGTAAGGCCTGTTTGTTTCTCATTTGTGGACGAGACAGGGGCCGCAGGCCAGGCCCGGCGAGCTCGGGGCAGGCCTGCGTGGCGGCCTTGGACGCCCAGCGACCGAGGGGAGCCCCCTTGGATGGCCTGAAACGACCACCTCCTAGCAACAAGCGGCTCGTGGCAGGCGGTCACGGCCTGGGCCGGCGTCTTTTTGACAAAGGTCGACCTTTACCCTACCTGAGCTTATCCTTTTGCCTCTATGAGAACAGGCCTTGGAATGTCAGGGTGCTTTCCTTTCCAGAGCCCTGAGGGCGCAACCTGCCACCAGAGGAGACCACGGAGCAGCTCAGCGCTACTGCCGTCGTGTTAACTGGCAGCGGGTAACCACCCTGTACCCGCCTACGTATAAGGAGTGCATGTCTGTTGGTTTTCCTTTTTTATCCAGTCGCAGAGATTTCCCACTTTGCCTTCTCCCATCTCCCTGATTTATCACCGATCTCCTGTGACCCCCTCACGCCGCCTCCTCGGACTGTCAGGTATAAAATACGGCGCGAAGCTGCCACTCTCCAGCGCATTTTCTCAGTCCGTTGCGATTTTGCTTCCCAACAACTGCTGTCAGTTTGGTTCAAATAAACTCATAAAAATTCTTACAGGTTTGGACATTTCTTACATTGACACACTCGTGACGCGTTTTCACCTGAGGAGGGGTGACGTGCGCACCTGGGTTTAAGGCAAACACCACGTGCCCTGGAGAAACAGCGGGCAGGTCTGGCTTCCACGCTCTGGGCCGATGAACGAAGGCTGCCTGCAGCGGGGGTGGTTAAAAGGGGCAGTAGCACGAGGGGCGGTGAGCGGGCCGGAATACAGGACCGCCGGCACGCCTTCCCTTGCGCGAGTCCGCCTTGCTGGGTCCCCGCCTTGGCAGGGCGCCACGGGAGCCCTGCCCCAAGACGGCGTGAGAGTGAGCACAAGGCACTCGTCACGCTGGTCAGGGACACGCTCCTTGGGGAGTTGTTTGGGTGGGGTTTCCACTTTTCACCTGTGTTTTAACAGATACGAACTTTACACGCATCTGCAATGCAAAGTTAGCTCTGAGAGAAATGCGTGAATCGCACCGTTTCAGAGCATCCAGAATGTGGTCCTTTTTGGGTAACAGCCTACGGTCAAAGCTTGTCCGGCTGAAGCATGTCTCTTGCCACTGACTGGCGGGCGCGGGCAAGGGGCACTTTGTAAATTAAGCGCACCCAGCTTTACAGCTAACGGAACGACTGCCCTTCAGGGAAGTCTTCTGAGGGAGACACTCTCTTATCCTAATCAATATTTTGGAACTTTTCTATTGGAAACATTTTTTGTCTTTTGAGTATTTTCTCTGGGGAGAAATCATTATTCTTCCCCTTTATTATTTCAGGCTAGATGGGACGCGTGGAAAAGGTGACAAGTCGCTCAGAGTGGGGTCTGCAAAGTGGGGTGGAGGCCCCATCAAGCCCAACTCTTCACAAGTCACCTCACCCGGTTGAAACCCAGGAAGAAGAAGCTCCCCCCCCACCCCATCTGCCTGGGATCTTACAGGAAATGCCTTGAGGACAGACTGGGGGGAATTTGCAAATGCGCAATTAATCTCATCAACGAGGCTGGGTATTTCATTTCAGAACAAATGCCAGATGCGATAAGATCGATTTTCATTGTTCCGAAAATTACAACAAAAGAGAAGCTGCCCAAAGAGTGTAAGTCATGACAATGTCATCAAAGCAGGTGTGGGGAGTCCCCAGGTGACTGCCTTGAAAGGACACATGCAGGCCAGGCCGGCTTTCTCACACCCCAACCTCTGAATTTCCTGGAAGCTTCTGAGCCCTCGTCCTCAAAGTGTGGTCCCGCGAGCAGCAGCCTAGGCCTCACCTGGGAACTGTCAGAAACGCGGACGCTGCCCCCTGGACCCACGGAATCAGAACCTGCGGTTTCCCAAGTCCCCAGGGGGTTCCCGGGGTCCCGGAAGTCTGAGAAACGCTGCGTGCCCCCAGCGGCAGGCAGGCCGGGCCCTGCACGGCAAAGCTCGGGGTGCGGGGTCCCGGCCACCTCTTACCTTGGGGAAGGAGTCGGGCCACACGGCGGGGGCGCCGTGGTTGAGCAGCGCTTGCACGATGCGCTCCGGCGCGGCCTGGGGCGCGCAGGCGGCTGTCTGCAGCACGCGGCCCAGCGGCGAGGCGCCCCCGTAGTCGAGCGCGGCCGCGTCAGCGCCGTGGCGCAGCAGGAGGTGCGCCAGGTCTGGGCTCGCGCGGCCACAGGCCTTGTGTAGCGGGCTGCGCTCGTCCTCGTCGCGCGCGTCCGGCGCCGCTCCGTGCCGGAGCAGCAGCGCGCACAGGCGCAGGCAGCGCTCGTGTTCGTCGGGCCGCAGCGCTGTGCCGCATGCCGTGCTCAGGGCCGTCTCGCCGCGGCCATTCCTCGCGTCCACTCGTGCCCCGTGGTCTAGGTAGAGGCGGGCGTGCTCGTCCAGGCTGTGCTGCGCCGCCACGTGCAGCGGCGTGTCCTGGCCGCTGCCGCCCGCGCGGTGCACCGAGGCGCCGTGCTCCAGCAGGACCTGCGCGCACCTGCGTGGGGGGACAAGGCTTGTCACCCAGTGGGCAGGAGCTGATACCCGGCACCCACACCCTGCCCCCGGACCTGCCACGCCCCGGCTGCCGTTTAGGGGGCTTCGGACAACCAGCAGAGTGAGTGGACCCCCGGGAGAGTGAAGGTAGCCCGAGAGAAAGCACCCAAGTTCAGATCCCCAGTGCCCAGGATGCGGCAGTTTAAACTGAGCGGCGGGGGGGCGAGGGGGGGGCGCGGGAAACCCACAAAGATATGGCAGAAACGACAGGGGGCGCGGGCCCCACGGTTACCGACTGGTGATCACAGCCGGGAAGAGTCCTAGGCATCTGCGCAGGGCGGACTGGTAACACTTAGGAGTAATTTGTAGCTGCCTGGTGCTACTTGGGGAGGTGATGCGGCTCACATGATGGTGTTGAAGTACTAATACCCTGGACCTTTGTCGCCTGCGGCAGTTGAGGCCTGGCAGTCACCGTTCTGAGGAGGGTCCCTTAGGCCTCCAGGCTCTTTCTCAGCCCGCAGCGCCCCTTCTGCGAACCGCCCAGCATCGGTGGTGAGCGCAGTGTGAGGCAGGCTCGCCTCGCTCCCGCGGAAGGAACCCACGCAGCCCTCCAGGGCCCAACGCCGGCGCTGCGGCAGTCCTGGGGCGGCGCGTGGTGCACACACAGCCACGCCCAGCTGGGCCCCGCCGGAGCGTCAACGGGACTCTCCCGCACAGACTGGTTCCCCGCTGCTCTCCGCCGTCCCCGCTCCAGGTCCACCCGCTGGAGCCCAGGCTGTCGCCTCCCCCGGCCTCTCCCAGGAGGGCGGCCTCCTCAGGGCCCCGGCCACACCTGGGAGAACTCTGACCCCTCACCCTGAGCTCAGGTGGCAGGCTGCTGACCAGGCTGCTGGGCGCCGCGGCCTCAGACCCCGATGGGAACCTCAGTCTGGCCCAGCCTGAAAGCCGGGGAGTCACCGGGGCCTTCTCCATTGTGCTGGCTCCTGTCCCTGTGGGCACTGCCAAGACACCAGCCCTGCTTCAGTCACCGGCTCCCAAGTCCCGTCCTGGCCATTGTCATCCATGTGGCTGCCCCACCTTTGGAGTCGGACACCGCAGCGCGGCGCCCCCAGACCGCAGCCTCTGGGCCCGGCGGCTCTGTGGGGACACGAGCCCCTGACCCCCATTCCCTCAGACCTCCTGCCTCCACTCCGTCCCTGCGCAGCCCTCCCGACGGGCTGCCTCCTTGGCGCCCTCTGTCCCCCTGACTAGAGGGGACATGGCCGCCATCCCCCATGCCAGTGGCCAGATCCTTAACCTGGAACCCACGTGCCATCCCCTCTCATCCCCCCGGCTGCTGGGCGCTGCCGGGGGAAACCCGCGCGCACTGGCCTCGGGTCCCGGCTAGGCCGCGGGGGCCTGTGGTTCACGCTTCCCGGTGTCGGAGGCCAGCTCCTCCGACAGCGGGGGCCCCCGACGTCATCGCTGTGCGCTGTGGCCGTGCTGTCTCTCCCGCCGTCCCTCGCGGCCTGTTCTGGGGTGCGGGCTCCCGCAGGGACCGCCATCCTTCCGGCCCCTGAGACGCCCCTGCTCCAGCTCCCATTCCAATGTGCTGCAGCGACTGTCCTCACGTCCCCCGCGTTCTAGGGGAGGGAGCCCCTCTAGGTCCGCTTGCCCCAGACGCGGCCCTCTTCGGCCTCCTGGAGGTCTCACTCTGTGAGTGACTGTCCTTTGCCTTTTTCCTGCCCTCCTTCGCTCCCCCGCTCAGTTGGTTGCCAGCCCTGTGGCCTCCATCGTCTATACTCACTCGAACTGCTGCTGCTTTTCCATGGCCACTGTCATGTCTTGTCTGATTGGGAACGACAGGCTCCTAAGTTGTCCCCTGCTCCAGTCCCACAAGCTCCATACGACCTGGAAAGAGCCTTCCCTTGTGTGACTCGGATGGCACGTGCCTCCTGGAGAGGAGGACACAGGACACAGGGCGCCGAGATACCCAGCTCGGGGGTCCTCCCCAGCCTCATGTCCTGGGCTCCATCCTCCCGTGCTGTGCTCCGGTCCTGCCGGGCCAGGTGCGGCCCTCTGTCCCGGTGCTTGGCTCGTGCCTCTCCTCCGCGACGCCCTGCCTCCTGTGAAGGCGGACACAGCCTATCGCTCCTTTCTCCGCCTCTCGGGCGCCGGCCTCCCTGCTGCCACCAGTGGAGGCCGCACGTCTGCGTTGTCCTGTGCCCCGTACAGAAGTGCCTGGGCGCACCACCTCCCACAGCAAGTGTGCATGTGCCTTGGCGCGCGGGACCCCGCCCTTAGACCATTGGCTCCTTGAGTGGAGAAGGGGAGCTTTTGTCACCTCTGCCTATCGGCGGCCAGTGCGGGGCGGTCCGCTATTGTGTGGCCTAAAAGCACGGGAGCACGTCCTCAACGAGCATCCGCAGCTCCCCCTCGGGTCACTGCTGGTTTTCCTGTTACCACCCCGCAGGGGGCTCCGACCGAGACCGGCCGTGGGGGCCTCCCGGCGGTACGCAGCTGCCGTCAAATCCGCTCGCATCCCTACACGGGGCGTGCGGTGCTGTTACTTGTCTCCACACGTCTTCGGCCTCCACGCCAGCCGCTTCCTGAGAAGTGGTCTGTCTTGGGCGAAACATCTTTACAAACAAGTACAATTGGATGTGAAATGTCCTTTGGGACGATAACCAGCTAAGAGGGGCTGCAGATTTCATCGCCGCCGCGCTCCAAGCTGGCTTCCGCCCCGCCTCTCCGGGAGGGGTTTGGAGCGGCACAGCAGGAGGCTACAAATCACGGGGTCCTCTCCTTTTTGCCTCTGAGCCTGTGTGCACTGGCAAACAATGACAAAACATTTGCTTCTACTTGTTTTTTTTTGCTTTTAAAGCAGCCCTGCCGCTCCAGACACATTCACAGGGAAATACGAGGGGCCCGTTTCCACGGCCACAGCCTGTCTGGTGGAGGGACCAGTCCGCAGTTTGCAACCAGGACGCCTTTCAAAGGAGCAAGGACAGTGCCCCCTCTGCCCTCCCCCCAAGAGGGCCACAGACGCCGGTTCCGTTGTTAATGAAGAGCTTCTAATTGGCGAGGCCCTGGCACCTCCTTAGGGCAGGTGATGGCGTGAGTCGCCGACCACAGGAATGAGAAGAAACAACAGGGCCAAGGGGCTGGGGCAGCCTGTGCTGGCCCGCGCTGCGCGGTCATTAAAAACGAAGGTGCAGGAGCCCGTTTAATGGCATGGAAAGCTATTTGCAATGGTTATGTGAAAAGATTAGGTTACAAAACAACACTGAACAGTGCTATTTTTTTTTTTTTTTTAAAGCAGACATGTGCATGCGTAGAAAGCAAGCCTAGAAACAGACAGGCCAGCGTGCGCTTCCCTCTGGCCGACGGGTGCGTGTGCTGCCTTGGGCCTGCCTGCGTTTTCCCAGTTTCGAACAGGAACCGGAGGGACAGTGTGGAAGCAGCAGGACAGCGGTTATTAAGCGCATCGCCCGCCCCCGCCCGGCCACGCAGCAGCGCAGGGACTCTAAGGTAGCTCAGCTCCCAGGGGCCCAGAAGGCGCAGGAATCCTCCCCCGGCCCCGCCCCCGGCTCCAAGCGGCCCAGGCAGGAGCAGCCACCTGCCTCGGACAGGGAGGAGAAGGGGGGCCTAGAGGGAGGACGGGGCGGGTGGGGGGTACTCGATGATAGACAGACAAACGTCCACAGTGCCAGGCGCCTCCTGGGCCTGACCTTGCGTGTGTCACTGTCTCCAGCGGAAGAAGAAGGGGCCCAGCGGGGAAAGCCCCACTGAGGCCGGGCGACCCGGCCGGGCCCTCTCCTCTGCGGGCAGGTTCTGTGCGGTCTCCCGCCAGCCTGAGAGACAGGCAAGCCCGGGGGGCCTGGAGCCACGGGAGGACAGTCACTGCCAGGCAGCAAGGGCAGATTCCGATCTGAGGACATCGGAACCGTTCCTGACCCTCATCTTCAAGAATGGCCGCGGCGACAGGCTGCGACAGGGGCGCAGGGTGACAGGCACAGAAAACGTAGCTTGAGCCAAGGCAGGAGTCCACAGAGAGGAGCCCTCGGGGCTGTTGAATTGGTGTCGTTTTAACGGACCCCCGGACGTGCTCACACCCACCCTCCGGGTTCCTTCAGGGGCAGAGGGTCTGCAGGAATGCCCGGCCTGGGCTGTCCTGGCCTCCCCGCCCCCACCCTCTCCCAGCGCCCGCCAAGCCCCCTGCACCCCGCTGCCCACCCGCACAGGGCTCCTTCCTGTGCCTTCCCTCCGCCCCCTCACTCCATCCACACAAACCCTCGCAAGCGGTACCCCTCACCCCGGCCCTGAGCTGGGAGCCCACCGCCTCCCTGCTGCTTCCTCTTGTTACGTAGTTACTCTTTAAATGTTATCTTTAGTTCTTGCAACAAATCTGCATCATAGGTAGAATTTTACAGGGGGAGATTGAGGCCTAACAGACCTGTGACTTCTGTGCAGCCCCAGAGCCAGGACGTGGCAAAGCAGAGACACCGGCGATGGCTGTGTCTGCCTCCCCTGTTCTCAGCCCTGCCGCCACCTGCTGGCTCCTCCCACTGGCGTCACCTGTGAAGCACCTTCCAGGAGCCAGTCACGGACCTTGGCGCTTCGCACACGTCACCTCTACACTTCTGGTTCCCTCGTGCCTTCGTTCGTTCGAGAACGTCGTCTGTGCTCCGTAGGACAACGGCCTTTCAGTGCCGGGACAGGCGTTCCTTCTGAGTGCTCCACGAGGACTTCCGCACAGACCCGCCGGCAGGACAGTGGAGGCCGTGGGCCCGTGCTGGGGGGCAGGGGACGGGGCCCGCGGCTGCCCGGGCCCGCTGGCAACCCTGCGTGGTCCGTTTCGTCCTCCCCGGTGTTCGGCGAGGATTCAGTTTTCTGTGTGTGCACAGTGGCCTCAGGGGCAGGGACCCAGAAGGCAGCGGCGACCCCACAGCCGGAACATCCGCTTGGGGTGAAACCCAGCTCCCGCGGGACAGCAGCCTGCCTCGCCACCCCCAACAGACG